AATAAAAGAAACGCCTAGGCGCCCGCCTACCGCCTAGCGATTTTTTGAACATCTTGCAGTTTTTTTTTCTTTCCCTAAAGTCTAGTATGTTTATACTTTCAGGGTTTGTTTGCATTATCCTTGTGTGGAAATAAGCTTGAGAATGTGGAAGTAGTTGTTCAGGAAGTTACCAAGTTCAAAAATCTAAGAGCTCTATGGCTGAACAATAACCCAGTTGTACAAAATTGGTAAGCATGCTTATTAATATTCAGAAAGGTGTTAATGTCTGCTTTAACTGAGCCACTTCTTTACTCAGAGATTTTGTTTTGTTTTTGTCAATTCAGTGGTGATGAATTGGCAGATAAAGTTCTTCGAGAATTGCTGAATCTTGAAATATATAACTCAAAGTTTACCTCCAATTATGGTGAGTGGGCATTGGGGTTTTGTGGAGGAGTGTATGATAAGGAAAATCCAGGGAGCGTTGATCAGCCTGACAACAAATTGAAGCAAGTCACTGATCTTGATTTGTCAAATAGATGTATTCACAATTTGTTCAATAAGGTTCAAGCATTTTCTATATATCTCTCACTTTTTTCATGAACCATTTTACTATTTCTGCTGACTAAGTCTGATATTTTATTTTACGTACATGGTAAAGGATGATGGTGGATTTTTAGAGTCAAAGAACATACTTAGATGATTGGTAAACTAGCAGCATTCACTGATATGGTTACTTTTTCTTTTTCTTTTTTAGGCATGTACCCCTCTTCAGCTTCCATGTCTTTCATACTTGAGTCTTCGGGGAAATCCATTGGAAGAGACCGCAGTGAGTGACTTGTTGCAGTTACTCAGGAATTTTCCTTCTTTACAGTCCCTGGAGGTAATATCTTCAGGAATACTTTTCTCTAGCATAAAGGTTCCTTTGTTGAACAAACCACTTTGACTATAATTAAAATGTAAACTTATTTTATAGGTGGATATTCCTGGCCCTCTTGGAGAAAGTGCTGTACAAATTCTTGAATCTCTTCCTAATCTTTCAGTACTAAATGGCGTCAATGCATCAAAAATATTTGAAACTGAAAAGGATGTGGTTGACTCAGTGCTTCAGCCACGTCTTCCTGAGTGGACTGCAGATGAGCCACTTACTGATCGTGTTATAAATGCAATGTGGCTATATTTAATGACATATCGACTTGCAGATGAGGAGAAGATCGACGAGACCTCTGTACTGTATGTTTCCCAATCTCAAAGAAAACAGATTTCTCGATGATTCATGCATTGAAAGTGTCCATGAACATAAGCGGTAGATTATTAAAGTATTTTCAAATAGAAAAGCATAGTTATAGTGCAGCATTGCATATCTTTGTACTCTGGTTCTGCTTGATTGGTGTTTTGTTGTATCTCTTGAATAATTGAGTTCACTATTGTCACAGAATAAATAAATTGCATGTACATGAACAAACAGCCAATTATTTACTTTGAACTGATCATCCTCTGCTTTGTAGATACGTGATGGATGAGCTGGGTTCAGCTTTGCGGCATAGTGATGAGCCAAATTTCAGAGTGGCACCTTTTCTCTTCATGCCAGAGGGGACATTAGCATCAGCTGTGAGGTTGTCATTTTATTTTATTTTTTCCATTTGCTTTTCTGCTTTTCTTACGAATTTTCCTCGTCTTCTTAGATGAACTCGGTATCCAATTTATAATTGTACTGTAGAAATTTCATTCTTGTTGTTTGTATGGCAAAATTGGCAATTTGAAAGGTGGATGCAGAAACCTGGGTTCTTTGGAGTAATGGATTTTGTTTACACCCGAAATAATGGTCCTTTACATAGGTCCATGGAGATGTTATATGCATAATTTGTACTGATACATCTTTGCCTTTAGTGTAATTTGTATGAGCTCTCCTGGGACACGTGGCACGCTCCCAAGCGACGCCCACAGTCCCACATCGAAATAATCAACAAAATGCACACCTCCCAAGACCTATAAAAGGAGGCCAACAATCCCAAAATGGAGGTAATCAGAACTTACGGCATACAAGCCTATTGATCTGTCAGTTAAACTTTCTATTCCCGAACTTACTTAAGCATCGGAGAGCCTTCGGCCGGTACCACACCGGTGCCCCAGGTCTTACCGTACGTTTGCTCATATTGCAGATTGCGCAGGCTACAGAGGCATCAAGGATACCGAAGGCATAAAATTACTAAGTTGACCCTCTAAGTCAAAGAACCACTTTTTGGCGTCAACAGTTTGGCGCCGTTTGTGGGAATTCGATAAAATCGACCCTTTATCCCGAACATATGGTGACCACTGAAAAAACTACGTTCGTACCACGGGAAGGGATGCCCACAGACAAGTGTGCACCGTTCTTCAAAGCCTTGAAAGGGGGCAAACACCATATAGAGTTGACTGCCGAATGCGATAAGGCGTTTCAAGACATGAAGGACTATATGGGCCGAGCACCGCTACTGTCAAAACCCCTCCCTGGAGAAACACTCTCTCTATATATATCGGTATCCAGCACTGCCGTCAGCTCAGTACTGATACGGATCCCAGAGAAGGCAGAGCTGCCGATCTTCTACGTCAGTAAGGCCCTACAGGGGGCATAGTCTCGGTACCCCCCACTCGAGCAGCTAGCTCTAGCTCTGGTCGTTTCTGCCCGGCGGTTGAGGCCCTATTTTCATGCCCACACCATCATCGTTCTGACCAACTAGCCCCTTCGGCAAGTTTTTCAAAAACCTGAAACATCCGGAAGGCTGGTGAAGTGGGCGATCGAGCTGGGAGAATTCGAAAAGGGACAAGCCGTAGCAGACTTCATCGCTAAACTGACACCTTCGGTGGCTTCAGAACCTGAAAAAATCCTTCCACAAAAAGACCTACCGAACGGCAGTCGTCCCGACCAGTCAACTCCTTTCTGGATCCTGCACGTTGACGGTTCGGCAAACCAACAAGGATGCGGAGTTGGTCTGGTACTCACCGCTCCCGATGGAGCCAAAATTGAATATGCCATCAGGTTCGG